GTATTTAGGTGGGGGGTAGGACACAGGGAGGGTATTTAGGTGGGCGAGGGGGGATGGGACACAGGTAGGTATGTATAGGGGGTTTCTTTCTCTCCCGTACCTCCATGGACACCCTCCAGCCTTGCATGGCGGAGTAGCCGTAGCTGACCCCTCCGCTGCCCCCCTTCCCGGAGCTCTTGGCGGTGTTCGGTTGTGACAGATAGGCTCCCATCTCTGGACACGTGCGGGCTATGTGCGGCTCCCGGCTCTATAATACAGCGGACCGGAAGCGGAAGTGGCGGAAGGAAGAGAGAAGCCGGAGGGACACGTGACCAAAAGAGGCGGAGCGGAAGAGCTATAGCACCTATGAGCAGAGGCGATCGGTCCCTTACTCGATCTTTGCCCTCTACAATCATGGCTTATACGAGATCTCTGCAGCCCCGCCCCCAGGAAATGACGTATTAATAAAAGCGATTTCGAGAGTAAGGCGGGACATCACAGGCTTGTACAGACTCAGAGCCTCTATTACAGCCCCGCCTCCAACTGTGACAGGCTCCCCGCTCTTAGGTGGCTCCTCCCTGGTCCACTGCGTTCCCATAGCAACCGAACTGAGCTCCGTGCTTTGTGTGCTGCACGGTGATTGGCTGCTCTGGGTTCCGCGGTCCAATGTGTCAGTAGTGCCCGCCCACCTACCCTGACATTGAGGTACAGTCCCATGGGGCCACACTGTGTACCCCTATGGAGGCACCCGAATACCCCCTTTATACAGAATACCCTCACTGTACCCCCAATATAAGGAGAATGCCCCCCACTGTACCCTCAGCATTTCATTGTGATTCAGTTTTGGCCTGGGGGCTGCCCATTTTTTTTCGGGGGGATTATTATTGTGTGAAAAGTTCCATTTCCAGCTGAATGTCGCCTTCAAGACCGCCGGGCCCCCCAAAATCTCATCAAGAACACGGAGACGATGCAGAATTCCACCTCGAACCATAACATCTTCACCACCATGCTTCACAGTCCGGATGAGGCTCCGCCCCTGAATTGCTGTCTTCAACTGTCACTGATCCATTAGCCCCCC